TTCTGAGGAGGGAAGGACAGAGACAGCCCAAAGGTGAATCAAGGGAGGAAGGGTACTGCAGGCAGAAAGGAAAGAGGGGGTGTTCCTGATGCGCTACACAAACACAAATCACACAAAGCGAGCAGATGAAGGGGACAGATCACTTCACTGGGGGGCCAGATCCTGCCCATCAAGGCTTCCCAGGAGATATCTGAGACGACTTCAAAATGAAATGCAAAACTATAGAAGTGACATTGAATGTAGTAACTGGAGGCACCACATGTCTATTATAGAAACAGGCCTATGTCTATCACAAAACTGTGGGTGTGAGATTTAACATGCCAGTGATGATAACATCGAGTGCCGACTGTATAAACATGACTGATTTTACTTATTTTAATTATATATTTATGTATTTATTTATGTGTGTGTGTGTGTGTGTGTGTGTGTGTGTGTGTGTGTGTGTCCACACACACATGCATAAGCAAGCAGGCCACGGCATGGATGTGGAGGTCAGAGGACGGCATGTAGGAATCAGTTCTTTTTGTCCACCACGTGAGTTCTGGGGCTCAAACTGATGTAGTCAGGCTTGGCAGCAAGCATCTTTACCCAATCAGCCACCTCAATGGCCCTGGATTATTTATTACGCTCTCCCTGAGCTGTTCTTCCCTCTAGAGAGCCTTTCATAAATTCCGCACACACTGTACAGCCACTGGGTCCGAGAGGGTCATACCTCGTGCCAATATATAACCGATTGGCGTCGAAGGAGAGGGAAGAGGGTACCCGGCATTAGGATGAAGGTGTTGGAGGGGGCACCTCAAATCTGAGGTCATCAGGGCAGAAGCACCTCAGGGCCAAGGCTTAGAAGCAAAGAGATCTGGTGGCCTGTTGAGATCTAAAACTGTCCTGGGTTTGGCGGCCTCCCACCTGGGGGCAGGGAGGGCGACATCACAGCTTAATAAACCCAAGCCATGGTTTGTCTGCCATCTGCTTTATAATAGTGCTTATGTGATGGCTGTCACAAGCTGGGGACTTCCAGGCTATCCTGAAACCAGCTTCCACGCTTTCCATCACTCACCTTCTGCAGAGAGTTACAAACTCAGCTGATGGCTGCCGTTGTGGGCAACAGACCTTCAAAGTCTGTTGACAAGAAAGCATGTCCCTTGAAAACTGAACCACAGACCTAAACTCCCATTATTGTGATAGGGTAAGCGCCCTGTATATGGTGATACATAGAAATGCCAACCGGAGACAGTCGCTGAAGGTGAAACCAGATCTCCATGTCAAAGCCAAGTAGAGCTAAATGTCGTGACCAAGGTGGCACAGGAGGGAAGTGGCTGAGCCAAACTGGAGCTCAGGATGTCCCACTCCAGACAGGCTCTTCTGTATCACTCTCAGAAACCTGGGAAGGATGCATGGTGGGGTTGAAGGGCTGCTGTAGACAGATTTTCTGAGCGTGGCCTGGGACTCAAATAGATTATGCAAGAAGAAAAACCTCTGTAGGCTCCAAAGAGATCCATGAGAAATGGCCATTAAGATTCTGAGATGTGCCGGGCAGTGGTGGTGCACACCTTTAATCCCAGCACTCGGGAGGTAGAGGCAGGCGAATCTCTGTGAGTTCGAGGCCAGCCTGGTCTACAGAACAAGATCCAGGACAGGCACCAAAACTACAGGGAAATCCTATCTCCAAACAAACAAACAAACAAAAAAACCAAACAAGATTCTGAGATGCCATGACCCTACCACAGCCAGGGTCTGTGTTGATGTTCAGAGCTCCTGTTACTGAAGACTGTTTGGATGGCCAGGGTCTGGGCTGTCACCTGAGATCATGTGGGTGTTTGAGAGCCACATTGCCACAGAGGTCATACTGATCTGAGTGGCCTGTGCTACCACCCAGGACCATGTGACATCCAGGCTCAAGCTGTTGCTGAGGGCCATATCTGGGTCCATGGTCCTGCTGTTGCTGGGGTCGGTATTGGTATCCATGACTCGGACATGTGTGTTGAAATTCCAGGGCCATGGTGAGCTGGCCCCATCCTTTGTCAGCCTTGGGAGATATGGCCCTGTCCCTCAATGGCCACTGCAGCAGGAGAGCTAGTTCCACCCCTCATGGGAGAGCTGGCCCAGCCTTCATCATGGTTTTGGGAGAGCTGACCCCAATGATGTGAGTGCAGGTGAGCGAGCTGGCTCTGTCCCTTGCCTGAGGGGGACAGTCTCAGTGGAGGACGAGAGTGACCAACTCAGCTACCACCCAGGCCCACATCTAGTGCTTGGGTTGGCCCACTCCAACATCTACTCCATCTATGACCTGCTGGAGTCTGTGAAGGGACTGGTCCTGCAGAAACACAGCCGCAGGATCTCCAAGATTCGGGTCAACAACAAGATATCAGAGAAGTTTCAGTGAGGGCCCAGTATTGGTGGTGTACCAGAAGCCAGAGGCCTTGAACCAGACCAACAACTCACTACAATGAACATTTGCAAGTAAAGCTGTTTGGACAAAAGGGTACAAACCACAGCTCCCAATGCCACTAAGACGAACGAAGAGATGATGGAGAGGAGGGAAAGACAGAGGATCAAAGTGGTTTTTGTTTGTTTGTTTTTAATATATATTTTTTCATTTTCTTGGTGGAGGAGGCACTGCAAGGGTGAAGGATGTATATGGAGGGACTGGGAAATGAGTGGGATTGGGGCGTATGATGTGAAATTCCCAAAGACTCATTAAAAATTATGTTTAAAGTAGTTTCCGAGAGGCTTGTATTCCTCTGATATATCTACAGTGTTCTACTTATTTGTGTCCAAGAATATAAGAATATCCTGGAGACCACAAGGGCTGCTGAGATTTTCTTTTTTCTTTTTTGTGAATCGGAGGAAGAGTTAGTGTGGGAACACCAGCAGCACTGAAGGGTGCATTTAGTGAACATGTTCCTGTGGCAAAACCACGTTGCTCATGGGGGAAGCTAAAGGGTATAAATACAGTGGGTTCTTCTCTGGGGCTAGCACCTGGGTGGTTGTTTAGTAGCACAATGGTTCAGATCACCGAATTCCTGCTCTTGGGGAAGTCTTCTGGAGACACAGTTTTCCTGCCCTGCTGGAATATCCTCTAGTCCATCCATTAGTGGACCAACTAAGGGGAACTGCTCATTCTAAATGAAAAATCATTACTCACGGACGTGTGTTCACAGAGATACCATGCTTGAACCACTCCTGATCTAGTGAGTTCTGAACTCGTTGACCCAAAGGCATACTTCTCAGCCCAGGCCAATTACTCAGGGCTCATCTTGACTTTGATGTGTCCTCTCTTGCTGCATGCCTCCTCTATTGAACTATAAGTTCTAGGACACAGGCCACTTAACCATGGCCATGTCCCTAGCTCCTAGCAGGGACTCCCTGAATGGAGTAGATGAAGCAGGGTGGCTGATCCTTATCCCACAAACTCTGAAACTGTGACAATCCATGGCTCAAGACCCAGCTGAGCTCTGCCTTCCACCCTCCCTGGCCTTCTACAGGTCTGTCACTTCCCGTGCCACGGCTGTCTTTGATGGCTTGCGGGTGGGGTCTATAATGGCCTGTTTCTTTTCTATCTCTGCATACCCAGAGACAAAAGGGAGTGTCTACAACTATGGTTTGTGGGAGACAGAACTATCACCTGGACAAAGAAAGACCTGGAAAGGTTGCCACGACTGAGGATCAGGGTACTCTCTTGCCAGATCTACTCTGATGCCAGCCTGGTGGATTATTGTGGGTCTGGGCCTTGGAATTACAGTCAGCTCTGCTCTTAAGATAACAGCAGGTATCACTTTCCAACTGGCTGGGAACTTCTGGAATTTGCCAGTTTTGAAGGTAGAGGTAATTTACACCCTTCTTGAAGGGGTGGTCCCAGCTAAGGCAACCCCCAAGAACATACACTAGCTGGACTTCTCACCGACTAGTGCATTCAGAGCTTAAAAAGAGGAATTTTAAGGCCATCAGTTGGCTCACAGCACTTGTAGATACCGACAGAGAACATGGGACCAGACATGACATCAGGTTATTAAATTAGTGTCTTTTCAGAAATAGCACAGGCTCGTTCGGCTCCTCATGGGACTCACCGGTTTGATTAAGTGTCTCTGCAGACAGGGCTTTTGTTCTCAGGATGATGCTGTGATAGAAGAACTGTGCACAGTCTTAAACTTGTGGAACCAGGGTGGGGAGAAGGGAGCAACCTTACAGCCAGTGTGGAGTGTGACAGTGAAGGACCATGGGGTCTGTCAGAGCCTGGGATTATCAAGCACATGCCACAGATGCACCTCATCCTACAGGTGCTCAACTTGACTTTGATTTGACCTCTGGGCAATGCCGAATGGTGCCCCAGAATGTGGCCCATGTGGCTGCTAAAGGCTGGTTTCCAAGGGGTGACTGTCCATCTACTGTCCTTCCATGCCGGCTTCTCTGAGAGGAGGTACATCAGGCCACCTCATGCCCTGCAGGTATCTGGAGCCAACTGCTCATGTGTAAACCCCAGCAGGTATCCTGGCTAGGGAACGCCACAAGTAGCTCTGTTCGTGTGTGTGTGTGTGTGTGTGTGTGTGTGTGTGTGTGTGTGTGTGTGTGTGTGTGTGTGACAGGCATGGTGCAGCCTGAGGCTGCTGGGCTATACTCCACTTCACTGTTATTTTCTCTGCTTTTAAGGGACCCGGCCAAAGGTGGAAACGACCCAGAAAATACCTCTCTGGATTGACATCATTATCTGCACGTTGCCATTTTGTCAGAAAACCTGCATTCACTTTTTTTTATTTCTCTTCTAAAAAGGTGTAGAGCTTTGCTGCACCCCCAAAATGAGACTCTCGTATATTAACCACCAGGGTTTCATCAATAAACGGCGGCTACCTTATTTTTGCGTTCATTACGTGTGTCCGGTCATAAGTTCAGCACAAGGTTTGCGTGGCCAATTATGTAAAACTCTGAAATCCCCCAGTGGCCACCCTTTGCCTCACCCCATCACAAAATTGTTCTGTCCACCCAGTTCAGTTCTGGCCACTCACCTCTCAGCTGTTGGAAACAGGAGGCACTGCTGTCTGGCTCCAGGGGATGTCTCAGGACCCCATTGCTGGGCTTGGGCCTCTCATATTCTCTTTCGGGGAGCATGGCCTGCTCACTCTCCATGGCGGGGTCTGAGTGTGGGGGCAGGGACTGTGGGAACCCAAACATCAAGAGGGACGAGAAGAAGAGCAAGGCACCGCAGAGCAGAAAGCCGCCCCACCAGGCTCCGATCCAGCGCGGGTCATCTGGAGTGATGTCCAGGTTACCTGAGAACAGAAAGGACAGTTTAGTGGAGGGGGCAAGTGGGCTGTGGGGACTCTGCTGGAAGAGAGACGTCCACTGCATAGAGTTCAAGGGCTGGAGCCATGGATGGGGTGGGGGTGGGGCTCTGGGCTGGGAAACTGTCTGTTCCATGTCAGTTTCTCCCATCAGTGGGGACCGAGCATGTTTCCCCCCCTTAATTTCCTTGTCTGTTCTGTGCTTATAATCTGTCTAAACAAAAACAGTGAGGAGCCAGACAGCCGAGGCAGGCTGAAATTGACTCATCTCGCTGCATTGCCAAGCTGAGTTCACAAAAACACAAGCAAATATTCACTATCCAAGGGTAGACTGTCACTAGGTGTACGCTCTCTCACCTGAAACTGTTTGTCTGAAATTTCATCCCATCCCTCACAGCACGGAGGAAGTCAGGTTCATAACTAAAAGGGGTAGGTGCAGAATGCAATTCAAGGAAATGGATGCCCGGGATGCTTGGATTAAAATCTTGCCCTTGTGGAGACTTTCTGAACTCTATGCCTCAGTTTACTAATCTGCAAACATCGATGACAACAGCTCCTACCTTGCAGAGTCATTAGGAAAGGCCAGAAAACCACACCAAACATGTGTTCGCAGACTTGGCGATGCCAATCTGTCATTTATGGTGGGGTCCTTTGTCCCCAAGATTCTACTGGCTAGGCTGACTCAAGTCCTGAGGGTGGCCCTTGGCTTGGCCCCAGCCCTCCCCCCAGAAAGCTCTGGCACAGCTCCAGTGCTCAAAGGCACCATGTATATTCGAGCAGTTTGGCTGCATGGATCTGAGTGGCCTTGGTACCCACAGCACTTCTTTGATGTGTCAACTGAAGTCCTGGGAAAGGAACAGGAACTGCAGCTTATTTCCTGGTTTTCACTCTACTCTTTACAGCTGCCCTGCAAAGTGGTATGTCCAGGTGGGCTACCTAGAAATGTCTTTTTGATGATCAACCATGCTTCCAGAACCCCCAAAGGAGATTCTTGGGGGGCTGGGCAATAATAGTAGGTGAGGCAAGAAAAATAGGGCTGCAGGCTGGGACCAGATGGATGGGCAGCTGGGGGAAGAGTGATGATTGCAGGTACCAGGTGAGCATTTTGCCATTTGTAAAGTGCCCCCCCCCCCCCCCCCCCCCCCCCCCCGCTCCAAGCCTCTTAATGACAACATCAGCTATCATTTTCCCAGGGTTTCCTTTGCAGCAGGAGTCACACACAGCACGAGGGTTGTTTCAGTGAATTTTCCCTATAAGCCTAGAAAAGAGGGTCTTGTATCCTCTCCATTTGTTGTGGAAACTGAGGCTTAGAAAGCCTAGGGTTCTTTGCTCAAGTTCCCAAGCGCAGCTTGGAACACAGAGGTCTTCACACAAAGGCCCCCCGTACTCCATACGGTACCACTCTTAGGATTTCTTTTTAGTCATCCTTAGTCACCTGGCCTTTGTGATCCCTGGAGAAGCAGGGCGAACACTAGATTCCTGTACTCTGTGCAATGGGTCTATGGCTACCAATTGCTCTGGTTATGTGCAAATTGGCTTTGGGATGCTCAGCGGCCCTCACCACGCTCACATGTACCAGTTGCTTTCGCATACCCATGTGCTGGAGAGGGTGCTTGAGCTGCCGAGGGCGGGGGTGGTGGTGCTGAGTCCCAGCTCTGCGGCTCACCAGCCTTAGCAACCCCTAGCCTTTTCATCACTTGTGAAATAAAGCTGCCACCTCCTGGAGTGGTTGTAAGGATGAAAGGTAACACGCAAGAACCCCTTGGCAAGCGTGGGCTCTCTGGATATGGCAGCACTTATTATTTTCCCCTTTCTGTTTCTAAATATATGAATGGGCATTTCCATGTGTGGGTTTTATTTTTAAACAATATGCCAGGGTACGGGAAATCTCAAGGTGATCCTGGAAGCATCTTCATGCAAATGAGGGAAGAGAAAAGGAAGTACAATCGCCTGGGGTAGCTGAATAGGGCTGTTTTCACTAGTCACTTACTGTGTTTCTTCACCTGCTGCCAAGCAGTGGATGAAAACAAAGAGGAAGGGAGCCGCCACTGTCTCCAGGCTCCAGATGTGAGCAAAGACAGAGACATCCTGGCAGTTGTTGGAGGGGAACAAAATCAGGGCTGTGGAGAAAGCCACGGGAAATCAGTGATTCTCTTGGATGTGTGAGAAAACATCCCGGGGAGGCGGGCTGGCACCGGCTATATGAGCCGTCTCTGTCACTTTCTTCCCTGTGGGCACGCATGTACAAAGTGTGAAAGTCAGCAAGGAACATGCCACCTAGTCAGAACCACAGCACACCGGCCATTTGGGTCAGGCTCATGTGAAGGTACGTGGAAGGCAGGATTCACAAAACCACGGATGGCTTTCTGGGGACCTCTCCTCTCTTCATTTTAGTTACTCAGGACATTGTGGCAGGAGAGAGACAGCACACTGAGGGGACACCACTCGGCTTCAGAGTGTGCATGGGGGAGGCTCAGTGACACTCTGACTTAGGAAGACAGCTCAGGCTTGAACCTGTCTCAGAGACTCCTCCACCAGTGTCTACACCAAACAATAGTGCATTGTATAAATGCACGTGTGCCTAAAGGTGCCTCCTGTGTGGACGCATGAATGTGCCTACAGACGCTGAGGCCAACCTCGGCTATGACTCCTCTGGAACTAGCTACTCTGTATTGTGAGTCAGAATCTCTCATTGGCCTGCAGCTCACCAATTTGCCTATGCAGGCTGGTCAGCCAGCTCCAGGGCTTTTCTGGTCCCCATCTCTCCAGAGCGGGAGTCACAGCACGCACCACTTTTGCATGCGGATCTGGGGTTGAACTCATGTCCTCAGACCTGTGGGCCAAGAGCTTTACCAACTGAGTTCTCCCTCAGACTCCTCAAATAATGTTTTTATGAGGAATTCTGGCTACTGAACAGTGGAACAAAACCTCTCGCTATTTGCATGGCAATTGTCAATGCTCAGAAGACATTGTTCTCAAATAGCTGATATTGAGAAAGACTTCTTTGTGTGTGTGCTGGCAAAGAAGCAAATGGTGGATGTCATTGACGTCTGGATTTCAACCAGCTCTTCTGGATACAAAGAGTATATGTCCCCAATTTGTGAAGTGTGGCCACATACTAGAGTTTTACAGAGGAAAAAGTGAGCAGGGGGACACGCGTCACTTCTGTCTGTGACTACGCCTATGCTGGTGTGTGGTTCCCATGCTTCTCTCCCCGAGAGGAATACATGAACGGGCTACAGTGAACACCATGTCCCCCTTGATCTGCTTTGGATACTTGGCAGGAACAAGAAATAAACTTCTACCATTCTAAGCCACAGATTTGGGGATATATTTGTTACTGTAGCATGATCTAGCCTACCCTGACTACTACAAATGGCTTGGGAAATAGGCACCTTTCTCTGTACTGACAGCAGTCTGGGGTCGGGGTGGGGGTGGGGCCCTAAGGACAGCAAAAGTGCTGTTTCAGGTAGGAAGTGGGGGCAAAGCTTGAGAACCTATTTATTTTTCTTTCTGTTTCCAGTTCCTGTATTGACTTTAAAAATCTGAGCCTGTTGTTTGAAGGTGGCTGTTTGCAAGATGTCCAGAACAAACTAAAGAGCACCAATCTGTCTCATTTACCCAGATATATCAATATAGCAATGGAATAAGAGGGATGATGGAAGCTATGGATCAGAATAGAGTGGGGGCGGGATCTCAGGCTGAGGGGACAGCCTGAGCTGAGGCGAGACAGGCCAGGGGAAGCAGGGTAGACAGAGAAAGCGCTCTGCTGCCACTTGTCTGCCCTCGGTCCCTCCAGGAGCTGGGAAGACACAGATTTCATTCTCAGGGAGGGTCAGTCACTCAGAAGGGCGAGGCTTTGGAAAAAGCTGAAACCACAACTCTCTCTGCTAGCTGTGCCTGTCCAGGATATGTCCATCATGAGACGGGGCACAGCTGGGGACTCTGCTTGCAAGTGTCCCTCTTTAGAAGACCCATTTGTTTTATTTGTGTGTGTGTGTGTGTGTGTGTGTGTGTGTGTGTGTGTGTGTGTGTGTGTGTTTCGTATGCTTTGTGTGCATGTGTGTCTTATGTGTGCTTTTTGCATGGGCAGGAGAGTGTGAGTCCGTGTGCCCCTATGGAGGCCAGAACAGGATGCTCAGGTGTCTTTCTCTGCTGTTTTTTATTCTTTACTGCCTTGAGACAGGGCCTCCCTCTCACTGACCTGGAAGTTCACCACTTTGGCTAGGCTGGCTGGCTACCATGCTCTGGGGGGATCTGTGTCTCTGCCCTCCACTGCCCTCCGATTCTGCGGCTCTGGACACTTGCACAGCCATGCCTCGCTTCTTCACGTGGGTGCTGGGGATTCGAACCCAAGTCCTTAAGCTCACAAAGAAAGCCTACTACCCAACGAGCCATCTCTCCAGCCCCCAGATCCACTTCTCTAAGTGTTTTATTTTGGCATCTGGCTTCTGGGCCACTTTGATTGTTTTCTAGTTCTGTTGCACAAAGTGAACAAGCTGCTAACAGCTGTTCGTCACCACTGCAAAGAGAAAGTGACTACAAGGGGCCTCTCAGGACTTTGGCCCCATTTCCAAGGTAGGAAATTGGGAGGAACAGGAAGAAGCCAGCATCCAACTCATTAACAGGCCTACCCATGAGACCGTGAGAAGAGTGGGTCAAAGCAAATTGGGGACAGTCACTTCTTTCTCTTGGGCCATGCGGGTGTGTGAGGGCCATTATGGCCCCCGAGGCATTTTTAGGTTCACGGACCTATTTGCTTAACCTACGTTATCAGACTCTTGCTATGGGACTCGGGAATTCCAAGAGTATCATTAAGTTACAAACCCAATTAGAAAGTGGAGGCAGGAAAGGTGTGGAACATTGCAGACCCCAGCCATCCAGCTCATCGGTCCAAATGGGAGGAATGCGGCTGCAAAGCTCGTCCTCTCGCCAGGCAGAACAGCAGCTCAGCTGATGACCTTTCCCCACCAGCACACAGGCTATGG